TAACTAACTCTTACAAGAACCTCATGAAGCAGAGAATAGCAAGGGTTATTATTCCCATTTTGCAGAAGAATAAATCAGGGCGGGGAAACACGAGGAGATTTGCCCAGATCAGAAAAACTGAGCGGAAGGCTGTTATTTTTTAATTCTTGTTTAGGAACTTATTTACTGAGTTACATCCACGTGCTTGGCTCTGTGGAAGATGGGCAGTGTGTTTGTGGTTGAGGTGGCGGTGGGGGGGGAAGGGAAAAGTGGTTTGAATAACATAATACAAAGACAGAGGTATGTTTGGGAGTCTGTAATTCCAACTCAAGCTATAGGCACAGAAGTTCGGCTTTGTCACTGGGCACAGCCTAGGAACTACAAACTCAGCTACGTCTGTCTTGTGCCAGATACGACAGAGATATTCATCTACTCATTTATGAAGGAGAAGGCTGTTAAAAATAAAGTATTCAATTTTTACATTCCTGATAGGAGGGAAAAGTGTGAGGGACTCTGCCTCATAAGGAAATGGACTAAGACGAAAACTATACATCACACATTCCCTGACAGTGCTATCCAGAGTAGCAGCCCGTTACCCTCTGTCCCCTTGCTCTGCTTAATTATTCGTCATAGCACTCTTCATATTCTCTTTTTTTATTGTCCATCTCCCCCCTAGAATGTAAGCTCCATGAGGGCATGGCTTTTATCCTTATTCATTGATGTTTTCAGGGCCTGCAACAGTGCCTGGCATCTGATAGGTACTCAAAAAGTGTTTGTTAAATCTATGATGAATGCCTGAAGTTTATAGTTCCAGTTCTGGCACTGATCAATTTTGTGACCTTGGAGAAGTCATTTCATCTCCTGGGGCATTAGTTTAAAAAAAGAAGAGCATTCAACCAGAAAACGCTTTTCAATGATTCAATGTTGTGATTTTATGTAGTCAATGAACCATAATACAAGGCAAAATGTGATAAGTAGTACACTAGAGTGTAGCGGATAAGTCACATTTCCTGTCTGCCCAGTATCTTTTGAATACCCTTCTTCTGTTTAGAGAATTTGCTATGAGTCCTCCCTCTCCAAGGAGGAAACTAGAAGCTCACTTACCCAGCCTTCCTAAATGTTGCTAGGGACTAGCCATAGGACTTGGGTTCTGCCTATGATACGCACCTTCAAGAGATTTTTTTTAAAGGTGAGCAATGTGAGGAACCAGGTACCTTGTGGAGTTCACCTTTGGTGGGGAGGCTGTGGGGGCAGAGCTCCTGCCTTCCAGGGCTCCACATCACTGGTGTCGTGGAAGAGACTGGGCTGTGCAGCAGCAGCTAAGTTGTTCAATGTGGCTCAAGATTTATGGAGTAGGGAATGAAAAGGACAGAATAGTGTTTCAATGAAGAAAAAGCAAGGCTGTTTGAAGTATCACAGATTTGATCCAAATCCTACCCTGCCACTTACCAGCTGTACCCTTGAATAAATTATATAACCTCTTGAGCCTGTTTCATCATCTTTAAAATGGTCATTATCCAAGGTCACTCAGGGGCTCTGAAGGTAGGGCTTTTTCAATGTCAGGATTCCCCAAGGGACTTTTGCTGGTATGTTTTGCCTCCAGATCACCAGGAAAAGGTAAGGCTTAAAATTAGGTTAATTTATAAGTTGCTAGAAGATAAAACACTGAGATTTAACACTAATAACAGAGCCAGCAAAATCAACTAATAAAAGGCAGTCTTTTCCATGAATATCAATAGGCCCAAGGACATTACTATGCAGCAGAATATAATAATTGATGCCATAATGACGACTTTGAGTTGCCAAGCAAAGATTCAATTACGGCCCATATACTCTGGTTACTGCAGAGAAGTAAGTACTACATTTTATGTACATTTCCATCAAAAGTGGTTCCAATGAAAACATTTTGGTGCTTAAAGGCTAAGTGTCAGTTAACTAGAAAATTCCCTTTCATGGAACAGATTATTTCCTAATGATGCCAGAAAGTGAGATATAATAACTGATATCAGAATATGAAAAAACATTATAGGCATAAATAGTTTCATTTGAAAATTGGCTGGAATACTCAGAATTCTTCACAGAAACTCTCAGAAACCTAGGAGCTCCTAAGTGCTATTTACGAATTGAAAGAAAAGAAATATACTCTTTTGTCTGTAAGTCCTCATCACCTAGAACTAATGCCATAATTAAATCACAAGGAAACCAGCAAGCCGGCCTTCAACAACACTCCTTTTTCCAAATATCCTCCCTGACTCCTGATACCAGGTGGGGAAGCATTTTTCTGAGTTTTTCAACTCTTACATTGCTACCCATGTATTTATTCTAATCTCCTCTTCAAGTTTATATTTCCTACTCCTGCCTCCCAAATATGGGTATTTCCTGAGGCGTAGGCCTTGGCCTTCTGCTCTTCTCTATAAATACTTTCTCCTTTGGAAAGATCATATACACTGATTATTTCAACTGTTGTTTCTTCATGGATGACTCACACATTTACATATTTAGGCATAGCCTCCCTTTCCTCAGCTTTAGTCCTGTACTCCTAACCCCTAACATTTTTCTTTTGGATATTTCACTACCATCTCAAATTCTACAAATATTTTTGAGGTCTGAGCTCATTTTTGCTTTAAAACCAGCTCACCCTATAGCTATCCCTTTTCAGTCCCAATTTCCCAGGCTTAAAGAATTGGAATCTTCCCTGATTCTTCCTAAGCGTTTTCTCCCATCATCCTCTCAGTCACTAAGGATAGTACTATTCAATTATTGTAACCTTGGTCTTTCCACTTTCATCTTTACTATCCAACATCAAGACTATCATGTCTCCCCATCCATACGATCCTATACACTTTTGTTAGGTTAATGTTTCTAAAACATGGCTTGGAACATTCATAGTTCCATCATTCATTCCACATTTACTGAGTGCTTACTTTATACAAAGCAGGATGTTGCCCACTCCAGAGTGTAGAAATGAATCAGATAAAGGTCTGTTTATGTCTAATAGGGGGAAGACGTGTACATAAATAATTTTAGTTCAAATTAGAAAGTGGTAATAACTGAATAAATACACAAAGAATGGTTCAGAAAGTATGATGGACAGTCAGTAGAAAGAAAAATTATTTCTAGATGGAGATGTCACTTCGTTTGGCTTTAAAGAATGGGTAGAATTTCAACCTCTTGAGAAGATGGAGAGGGAAGAGTATTCCAAGCAGAAAGAGACAGGAGCAATCTTTAGAAAGGTAATGAATAGTTCACCCAGGAGGTGCTTCACATGGTCTGGTTTGCCATGGACAAAGGGAGAATGAAAGGGGGACAGCATAAAATAAAGTTAGAGTTTTGAATCCAAGTTCATAAATTTGGCCTTTAATCTACAGGCAACAGGGAGCCAACGAAGATTTTCAATCAGAGCTGTGCTTAAAGATTGAGTAAACCATAGCAGCTATCTGTAAGCTGGGCTGGTAGTGGAGTGACGCCGGATGACGGGCATCACTGAGACAGGCAGTGCATGTCCACGCTCAGGGGACAATAAGGAGAACTTTGATTAGGTGGAGGCAGTGGGTAAGGAGAGAGGATGGATGCCAGAATTAATGCAGAGGTAGAAGGGACAGAACTAGTCAACTGATGGGAGCAAGTAAAAGAAATAAATGGCACCAAATATAGACATCAATGTTTCCAAGCTGGAAACTGGTGGTAACATCAACAAAAAGAGATGCAGAGTCTGGAAAGCAATTTGGCGGAGGGTGGGGGGCAAGTTAGGTTTGTAATATTCAGCGTTTATACAGCTGCAGAAAATCCAAGAAGAAATGGCCAAGACTCTTGGCGGCAGCCGGGTACTGATGACTTAAACTGGAGCAGAGGGGGGGTGAGTTTCAACAAAAACACGTACAAAACGGACTACAGAGTTCTCACTGCCGAGCCTCGCCCCCACAGGAATGAAAGGTGTCGCCTGGCTGAAGCAATCCACGCGTGGCTGCGCTCGCTTCGCGTGCTGCACAGACTCGGGTGCAGGCGGCCGGAAGTAGCCTTTCCCACTCTGCTCTGCTATCTCCAGAAATTCCGTCCCGGCCCGTCACCGTCTCCCAGCCAACCCCGCTTACTACACCGCCAGGCCGGCTGAAAGCGCTTCGTTGCCTGCAGCCCGCCACGTGACCACGCTCGTTGAGCTCTGTGCGTCGCACCAGCGTTCGAAGGCCTGGGAAAAATCCACACGGCGAGCCTTAGATATCGCGCGACTTGACAGACCCGCCTCTGCTTTTGCCTGCCGGAAGCGGAAGTCAGGTGGTCTTCCGAGTCTGGCCGAAGCGGCTCCGTTATCTGGGAGAGCTGGAGCGGCGTGCTGATCGTCTGATCGTGTGGTGGGCCAGAGGTGGGTTCTCCTGCGTGTCTGGCCGGCGGAGCTCGGCCAGAGCCGGATAGACACAGCTCTTGGCGGGTGAGTCGCCCATTGGGGCCGACGGGGAGGAGGGGCGGGGCGGCCCGAGCGGAGTGGCCGGCGAGGCATCCTCGGGCTGTGCGGTTCCAGGTTAGGCTCTTGCGCGAGTCCGGAAGCCGCTGACCCCTCGCGGCCTCTAATTACCCTCGCGTCTCGGGTTCGACGGTGCTTCGGAAGGGAGCGAATCTGTCAGAGCCTCGGTAGACGAACCCTGGTGGGCTGTGAGAGGATGAAAGACGCAGTGGCTTTTGGTGAGCATTTTCGTCTGTCAGCCCCCTCCCTGGGCCGCGGAACCCCACTACGGGTAGCCATTCCCAGGGCTGGTCGCAGCCCGAGGTGTACGTGGTTTTATTTGTGGTAAGGAAGCTAGTAATGTTCGAGTACAGATTTGAACGGCTGTACCATTGTTTTCAACGGAAAAGCACATACCTTGTGAAGCTGTTACTCATGCTTGAACTAGCGTACTGGGTTTGACGGCCCAGAGGACAGGTCTTGTAGCATCTTCTAGCTCTTTCCAATTGGCTTTGCAAGTCTTTAGAGCACTTGTAATCCAACCCCTTCGTTGACTAAGGCCCTGATGCCCGACCCCCCCAACCCCGCGCACCTTTTCAGGGTTTCCTTCAAGGAAGTCAAGTTTTTTTTTTTTTCTCTCACAGATCGAAACAACCTAAACGTTAAACAGTACAGCTGCCTCAAATCCCTGGGGTAAGTGAAGCTTGGATCAATTAAAATTCTATTTAAATTTCATTCTCATGAGTAATGATAAAGGTGATATTTGTTTGCTTGTGGGAGGGGGTCGTGGGAGAACATAAAAATAGAGTAGCACACTTGCCTCTCTTTATGATTTTTACTGCCCATCTGGTTAGATGTGGGTCATCTTTCTGGTGATTTCTGTGATTCTTATAGAAATTCAGGCAGGGTTTTAATTAGCTGAATTTATTTTAAATCATACCTTGGATTTAAGAATTTGAGATCAGTTTGCCAATCCCAGACACATTGAAAGTCTGGTATTGAATAAGGCATACTCTCTAAGAGAGCAGTAGCCTGAAAGGTAAAACCTCTGGGTATTACTTCATGCATCCAAACAACAATCTTGGTTTAATTTTGTTGGGATGAGGGTAGCATTATGTTAAAATATTTGCATATGTTTTGAGGGATTTGGAGGAAAGACAAGCTAATGAAGAAGCTGTCTTCCAATACCATATCTCTTTGTTAGAAACTTTTTATTATAAGTTGAAGTAATACAGGAAGAACAATAATTTCAGGGTGTCAGATAAGACGGAGAGATTTGGTTTTAAAGTTTTAGCATGATAGCACATATACCCCAAACCATAAAACAGCTTTTAGGAGTCTTGAGGCAAAGAGCAGAAAGATAGGGTTTGGGTTAGGAAAGGTAGGGGATGCAAATACTGACCAGTATTTGGTCAAGGAAGACTGGGAAGTGGGGGCTACCTACAGAATACTGCTAGGGCTGGCTTCTAGGTCTTGGGTGAAGATTAAAAGATGTGAACTCTTTGTCCCCTAGTTTCTCAAGGATTAGACTTTCTTCAGCCTAAGCCAAATCTTTTCTTAGAGGTAGAGAGCTCTCTGAGAATGTGGGTGAAGAAATACTACTTGAGTGAATCCATAATTGGCCCGGAAAACCCAGCTAATACAGATTTCAGTTTTTAGAGCCATTAGACAGTATCTATAGTGGTTATTTTTCATTTGTCACGGAATCTAGAATAAGAATACCTTGGATACCAGTATAAAGTAGTTACCTAGACGTTAGTAGCTGTGTTTTTAAATACCTTTCTATTGTCGTGTCTCTCCTGTATTTTCAGTCTTTCTCTTTCTTATTGGCTCTTTTTTTCCCCCTATAAACAGCCTTAAGTATTTTATTCTGAGAACAATAAGAGATAATCTTCCAGTAATCCCTTAGTTACTGCCCTTTTTTCTCCTGTTTTCAGCCAGGCTTCTTGAAAACTTAGTCTGTGAGCAGGGTAGATTTCTACTTCTTTACCTTCCAGTTACTCCTCAATTAATTGCAGTCCTGCCTCAATCCCTACTACTCTAAAATAATCACCTCTTAATGGCTAAATCCAATTAATTTTCTCTTCTTGGTTCTTTCTATCACTGTACCATTAAGTACTGATGGCCATTCATTCTTTATTTTCTAGCCTTCTATGATAATCTCTTCTGGTTCTTATCTATGTGTGTGTTCTTCTCTTATCCCTTCTTTATTTTCAACTTCTTTATATGTTGATATTCTCCAAGATTCTGTTTCTTGATACTCTTCTTATTCCACAGCCTTCCTGAGGAATCTCATCCATTCTGACAGCATTAACCACCAACAAAATTGCTAACGTCTCCCATATTCATCTTCAGCCTAGTTCTCAGTCCCAAATACTAGTTAACTGTGAACTGACTCTACATGTGAATGTATGTACCATAGCTAACTTCAAACTCAATGTGTGTCCTCTCCCCCACCCTTCTTCCTGTAGTTCCTGTGGCACCATAACCTGTCCAATTCTTTGGCCAGAAGCATGGGAGTTTTCCTTTATCCACCCCCATCTCCTCGCAACGTCTAGTCAGTGACTAATTCCTCCTGGAATTCTTTTAACACTATTCTCGCAGTCACTGTCTCAGATGAAGCCCTCAGCGTGTCACCTACATTATTGCAGTAATCTGCCTTTAGTCTAATCTCACTAATCTGTTCTCTACCCTGTTAGAAAAATGATCCTTCTAAATAGTAAATATGCTCTTAGACTTCTCTGCTTAAACCACCTATCACAACCAATTTCCTACCAGAAAAAGTGCAAAGTTGTTTGCATTGAATACAAAGTTTATCACAATTTGACCCCTGCCTACTTTTCCGGCTTCATTTCCTACCATTCACTGCTTCTCGGTTTATATTTACACCATATCTGTCTCTTCTACCAGACTGAGAGCTCTTTGGGGGCAGGGTCCGTGATATGTTGTTTATCTTTGTATCCCAGGCTCCTAGTTAGCACAATGCCTCTATAGTAGAAATCAAGAAGTACTGAATTGAATGTCTAAAATCTATCTTAAGAGTACACAAAGACTGGGCCGGCCCCGTGGCTTAGCGGTTGGGTGCGCGTGCTCCGCTGCTGGCGGCCCGGGTTGGGATCCCGGGCACGCACCGACGCACCGACGCACCGCTTCTCCGGCCATGCTGAGGCCGCGTCCCACATACAGCAACTAGAAGGATGTGCAACTATGACATACAGCTATCTACTGGGGCTTTAGGGGAAAAATTAATAAATAAGGTTTAAAAAAAAAATTAAAAAAAGAAAAAGAGAGTACACAAAGACTTTTATGAATACCCTCCC